CGCCTATCAGTGCACGTCAGTGCCGCCTAACAGTGCCAGTCAGTGCCGCCTAACAGTGCCAGTCAGTGCCGCCTAACAGTGCCAGTCAGTGCCGCCTAACAGTGCCATATATCAGTGTCATGTATCAGTGCTTCCTTTCAGTGCCCATCAGTGATGCCTGTCAATGCCCATCAGTGCAACCTACCAGTGCCTCCTCATCAGTGCCGCCTATCACTGCCCATTACTGCAGCCTCATTAGCGCACATCAGTGAAGGAGAAAAATCACTTATTTACAAAATTATATAACAAAAACTAAGAAAAAACATTTTTTTTTTCCAAAATTTTCAGTGGTTTTTGGTTTGTTTAAGAAAAAATAAAAATCCCAGAGGTGATTAAATACCACCAAAAGAAAAAACTCTGTCTCAAAAAAATGATAAAAATTTCATATGGGTACAGTGTTGCATGACCGCGCAATTGTCATTCAAAGTGTGACAGCACTGAAAGCTGGAAATTGACCTGGGCAGGAAGGGGGTATAAGTGCCCTGTAGGCAAGTGGTTAAGGGCAGGGACTGATGTGAATGTACAATATATACAGTATATATGTAAAGCACTGTGTAAATTGATGGTGGTATATAAGTACCTGTAATAAATAATAAAATAAATAAGTGGACTGAGAGAGGCAATAAGAAAAGACTGCAGCCAGCATGCATTAGGGAACAAACCCTATAAAAAACATATGCTGACTTCAGTGCATGTGGACAGGGACAGGATGTGCAAAAAGAGATAAAGATGTACTTTATCAGAAGCAATCTTCATGCTCTGCTTAGCACATTCTCAATATTACAGATGGGAATCCAGCCTTTTATAATGAGGGGGCTGGAACATAACAAAGACCCCATTACTGGACATCCTAAACCACCTGACCTAAGTTCAATATTGGTAGTCAACATGGGCGGACTGACAACTCATGGGGCCCCCAGGCAATAGGGAATCATGGGGCCCCTGTCCTTGCCCAAACTCAAAAAAGCCTATGAAAAGGCACCAGGGGCATCTCATGGGGCCCCCTACTGACCCCGGGCCCTCTGGCAGTGCCCGAGTTTCCAAATGGCCAGTCCGCCCCTGGTAGTCAATTGCTATATTGACAAACAGCTGCATTCATTTTCCATGTCTGTGAACTGATTGTGCTCAATGTGAACCTATGCTTGACCTGACAGGTTCCCGGTCACCTGATCGCTGTGATAGCCTTTGATTGGCTATCACAATCAGGGGCAGACTGGCAACTGATGGGGCCCCCGGGCAATAGGGGATCATGGGTCTGCTTTGTGCTCGCCCACACTCAAACCACTCCCAAAAAAGCCTATGAAAGGTACCAGGGGCATCTCATGGGGCCCCCTACTGACCCCAGGCCCTTGGGCATAGCCCGAGTGTCCGAATGGTCAGTCCTCCCCTGATCACAATGATCAGTCACTGTGCTCATGTGTTTCTTTCTCTTATGAATGGAGAGAAAGATACATTGTATCGTTCTCTCGTTGCAGGGGAGAAAGAGGTAAACATACCAAAATGTATAAAAAATATAATAAAAAAAAACTAAAAATAAAGAAAAAATAACTAATAAGGTTTGATCCAGGTCAGTGTCAGGGTTAGTATTAGGATCCAGGTAAGGGTCAAAGGTTGGGGTCAAAAGTCAGGGTCAATATATTTTTAGTTAGGATTTTTAAAAATTGCTGATTTTTAATTAGTATCAGTTGGAGTCAGTATGATTTAGGTAGGATAAAAAAAAAAAGCAAAATGCGCACTATTGTTTCTGGGCTCTACTCAGATACATTCAACAAATACCATACACATATGTGATATCGCTGCATTCTTCAGGAGCAGGAGAATTTGTTCTAGGTTGTTCTTTGGTGGTAAGTTATGGTAGTAACAAGCAATATACAGCTACACTTTTTTTTAGTTTTTTCTTTACCGATTTGTAGAGCTAAATTACAATTTACCATCAAATGAAAGCCCAATTTGTCCAGAAAAAAACAAGGTATAATCCACTTTGATATACAAAGTAGTGGCAATCATCTGTACAGTTTGACACATGTCAAAGTTGCAAAATTGGGCATGAGCGTTATGTTTTTTTTTTTTCCCTAGGTCATCAAGGGGTTAATGGCAGCGCTGGTGTCAAAAGCACTCCCTCCTGCCCAGGGGAGGACGGACAACTCATGGGGCCCCGGGCAATAGGAGATCATGGGGCCCCTGTGTCCTTGCCCAAACTCAAAAAAGCCTATGAAAAAGGTACCAGGGGCATCTCATGGGGCCCCCTACTGACCCCGGGCAGTGCCCAAGTTTCCAAATGGTCAGTCCGCCCCTGCTCCTGCCAGAAATCAGTGCTGTCAATCAAAAATCCATCTCCTGCACATGGACTTGGTCCCCGAAAGGATTAAAGTGGTTGTACAGTACACATGAAACATGAACAAAGCATATCTTTCTACATTGTGTACTTACCTCTATCAAAAGCACTGAGTGTGATTTCTCTCTGCTGCTTCGTTCCTCTGCTATCAGCATGACTCACTTCTGACAATTTATATCAACACCAAGAAATAAAATGGTGATAGGGGAAGAGAGATCCAGCACACAGTAGGTGACTGATATCCTGAGCTCTGCATTTTCTCCTTGTACTGTGAGGAGGGAAGTGTGTCCCCTTCCCTTTAATCAGGGCTCAGAGCTATCCTCATTGAGAGCTGCACTGTGAAGCTTTTCAGAGCTGAGAGATCCTGTGTAAATTCTGTACTTTGAACAGATGTAGAGGACACTCTAAAGTCGTAGTAAACTCTGTATTTTATCTTGTCTATAATAAAGCTTACCTGTAGGTACAGTGAATATCTCCTACATATGCATCGTTTATGAAATATTCCAATGTATAGCAGCCGGAGACATCACCAGCACATGCGCACTGCACTTCCAATGGATGGCATGCTCAAGTATGCCGTCCTCTGAGAGTGCTGTGCCGCTATCATTTCTGACGCGCATGCGTGGGTGGGAATGACATCATATTACAAGGATCCTACCTATAAGGAAGACTGGGTGAAGATGGAATCCCTGTCAGCAGTGACAGCACACCAATGGAGGGATCCATTTTAGTTGGTAAGTCTGACATAATGTGCTAGTGTGCAGGGCATACTAGCACAATATGGCCTAGACCTACAAGGGGACTGTGATAGACCCAACCGGGACAGGGGCTTTTGGAGGGGACTGCAGGCTAGCCTCTTGCCTACTGACCATGGGCCCTGGCATCTGAGGGAGCTCTATTTTTTGGGAGGTGTATGCCTGGGGGGACCATTTTTCTTCAAGTATTTTTCTTCGGATTCAAGTCTATGTCTCCCCTAAACACACAAACTTTGAGAACTGGAGGACCAGGATACCAATTTGGGGGTCTCTGTACCCAAACCAGCATTGACTGCTTCAACCTCCCCCTAGACTCAGAGAGCAGATATTAATATAATCAGCTCAAAACAACCTGATGCTGAGGTCTCTTGCTGTAATCTGTTTATTAAGGTGTGATGTGTATACTGTTGTGTCTTTGTCCCATTGCTAATTGAGTTAATTGAGTCACCTACTGTTTCTGTCTGTTGGCTAGTCCTCCTGATGTGATTAGTCTTGTGTCCACTTTACCTATTTCTCTAATCAGTGTGGGATGTTTATCCCAATGTGTAATATTTGTTTTATTGTTCATGTGGGGCTGCCCCTATTTTTGAAGTGTATAAAAACTTGTATTTCTGTTCAATAAAGAGCTCCTTGCTGCACCGAAGCTAGTATTGTCTAGTTCTTGGGTGCAATGCCCAGCTATAACACCTTGTTTCTGGGGTCCAGCTGCGGGGAAGCAGTTCTCTGATGGAGGCACTCAGGCTGTCCTTCAGGGGGACCATTTTTTTAAAAAACATTTTAAGTAATTAGTTTTAGTAATCTTATGAGACTTCTACTTTAAAAGGTCTACCTTAAAGGTTTACCTCCTTATGCATTTAAAGGAGGAACAACTGAGCAGGGGAGAGGGACAGAGATTTTATCCCAAAAGAGGGACAGTCTCTCTAAATGTGGGGCAATTGGCTGATATGTTTTAATGTATTATAAACCATGGAAACAATACCGGAACATACACTGAAATCTAAAAAACACCAGCCACTCTAGGTCCTTTGCAAAGTGCAGACAGAAAATAAGATTTTAAACATAGGAGTAGTTTTCCTCAGTAGAATGTAGTACATGGGAGTCAATTATTACCTATATGTTGATAAGTTAATGAAAAAAGTCAATTTGTTAACAGTTAAAAATAAAGAAACCCCATTTTTACAATGCTAAATACCCTGTGATTTGCATATGCAGTAAATATTTTAGAAAATGCAATCTTCCAAAGTTGGAACTATTGAGCTAATTATGAGAAAACGTCTAGCCTAAATTAATACATGTACAATGTTTTGACCCTAAAACTAGGGCCAGATTTAGATCTTGGGGGGGCCCCAGGCACTTCAGGTTCACAGGTTCCCTCATACACAGAGTTGATTTACATCTTCAATAACAGTCACACGTTGTTAGAATGAATGACACAATGTCATTCTGAGGTCACACGTACACACACACGCATGCAGTCATAGGCCATGTTAGTTAACCTCTTCACTCCGGCCTAGACGCCGAGCGGCCCGCACATTTACGTGCAATTAACAAAAAACATATGTGCTGCGAGCGCGCACCCCCTGCTCGCTTCCAGCACACATGTCCGCTACTCACAGAAAGGTCCCAGTCTGCTCTTTTGATCGGGACCTTTCCCGATCATGTGACTGCCGTGACACATCGTCACGGCGGTCACATGATCCCTAAACCCTGCCCGTCCCGCCTCCAGGCTTCTGAAACTCTTAAAAAGGGCCGGGAGGCGCTGGCGGGAAAGGGTTAAAAGCAGGGGCGGACTGACCATTCGAGCACTCGGGCACTGCCCGAGGGCCCAGGGTCAGTAGGGGGCCCCATGAGATACCCCTGATACCTTTCATATAGGCTTTTTTGGGTATGGGCGAGGACATGGGGGCCCCATGATCCCCTATTGCCCGGGGGCCCCATGAGTTGTCAGTCCGCCCCTGGTTAAAAGTGAATGCACTCTATGGGGTTGAGTTACTAATGGCAAGTAGACTGTGTACTTTGCAAGTGCAGTTGCACTGATTTTCTCCATATCTTAGTAAATGTGGTAAAGCTCTGCTTATTTCCATCATTATTATTCAGGATTTATATAGCGCCAACAGTTTGCTCAGCGCTTTACAATATAAAGGGGGACAGTACAACTACAATACAGTTCAATACAGAGGGAATAGGAGGGCCCTGCTCCTTGGAGCTTACAATATAAAGGAAGGGGGAGGTGGTACAAAAGGTGATAACTGCAGGGGATGATCTGATGGAGGTGACTCATTACAGTTCTTAAGTGGAGGTGAGGTAGGCTTACCTGAATAAGGTAGTTTTCAAAGATCGCCTAAAGGTAGACAGGGTGGGGGCTGACCGGACATACTGGGGTAGGGAGTTCCAGAGGATGGGAGAGGTTCTGGAGAAGTCCTGGAGGCAAGCATGGGAGGAGGTGACAAGGGAGCTAGAGAGCAAGATGTCTTAACCCATGTGAGTGGTTTGCTTGAGCTGCCAAAATTTGTTTTTAAATATTATACAATGTACAGTCCAGATTAAAACTGTAAACAGATTATGACAGGCAAAATACTACTTTGCAAGATACATTTAATAAAAGTAACTTTTTATTATTATATATTTTATTATTTTGTATTTTTATATTGTTATATTTATTGTTTCTGCCCCCTTATAAATCCAGCAATGCCTATACCAGTATAATATCTAGTATAACCCACACATAATTTAGTTCACTGTAATCATGAAATAAAGCATAAAATATTTTAGTAATATTTGTTGTTTCTTTTTCACATTTTTGTTAATTTGCTTGTATCTACCCCCCCCCCCTTTTTTTTTTTTTTTTATAGAGTGGGGAGGGGTTTATGGCTCACAGGGAAATTTTCTTGTCTATAAAGTGTTACTAAACCCACAACAGTAAAATCAGTCTTTATATGCAGTAAAGCATGCTTGTTATACTCACTGTGGAACCTATGGGTTAATCCTCTGCATTGTGTAAAAACGCAGTTTGATCCTGTCTTCTCTGATCCTCTCCTTCTTCCAGTGCCCCCTCTTATCTCCTGATAAGACAAATTGTGTGGAGACACTCTGCACATGCTCAGTTTGGTGTATATTGGTGGAGAGGTTTTTTTTCTTAGGAGAGTGCATGTGATCAGCACAGGGCCAATCAGCACTGCCCAGACAGAGGTCAGGGGTCCTGCGTCCTCATAGGACAATCAAGGGAGATCCTCCCACAAACTTCAACCAGTGCTCTGCTGGACACTGATAGAAGTCACAAGACTGCTCTAACCTCTGATGAGAAAAGGTATTTAGCAGTTTATATTTACTAAAATAATTGCACTTCAATGTTGTTTGTACTGTGGGAGTCCAGATATAGTGAATGCAGGGTCCTGGGAGACCGGATATAGTGAATGCAGGGTCCTGGGAGACCGGATATAGTGAATGCAGGGTCCTGGGAGACCGGATATAGTGAATGCAGGGTCCTGGGAGACCGGATATAGTGAATGCAGGGTCCGGGGAGACCGGATATAGTGAATGCAGGGTCCGGGGAGACCGGATATAGTGAATGCAGGGTCCGGGGAGACCGATATAGTGAATGCAGGGTCCGGGGAGACCGGATATAGTGAATGCAGGGTCCGGGGAGACCGGATATAGTGAATGGAGGGTCCGGGGAGACCGGATATAGTGAATGGAGGGTCCGGGGAGACCGGATATAGTGAATGGAGGGTCCGGGGAGACCGGATATAGTGAATGCAGGGTCCTGGGAGACCCGGATATAGTGAATGCAGGGTCCTGGGTTTAGTAACACTTTAACTGGCCCTTAGGAAACCATTCATCCCACTGGCCCCACAGGTACACTTTACCCCTAACTAACACCATGATGGGGCACAATTCCTCCAGCTGACACCATCAATGGGGCACAATTCCTCCAGAAACAACAATGATGAGGTACAATTCCTCCCACTGATACCAACAAAGTGAGACTTTCCCCAGTGGGACACAGATGGTAACAAAAAACCGATAGGTATTTTAACCTTTACCTATTTTATCCAGAAAACATTTTAGCTTTTGATATACTTTAAAATAAAGAACATATGCGGAGTATTTATTAAAATAATCTATTTTTATGTCCCCAAAAATTTGAAAATCATTTGCTGTTTTTTTTTAAGTGCTCATGTTATGAAAACAATTGCTCAGCTCTGGCTTTGACGTGTCGAAAATGAACTTACGTAAAGAGACTGTCAACTGTACTGCTATTAATAGCAATGCTAGACTGTTTGCACCTAATGTATGTATGAGTGATGGAGCTGGCATTGTGGAAGCTGCAGCAGTTCTCAGTATCACACAGTTATATCCCCACGAGACTAGACATATTGATTAAACCCTTGGCAACTGCACAGGAAGAGCACATGATGAATTCAGTTAGATACAGAATCTGAGGAAATTGATAAGTATCACATCTCAGCAACAGAAATCCATTGTAGAATTAGCTTAGTATCTGGCATATACATTTAATTGTTTAGAGGAAGCTAAAAAACCAGATAAGTACTCTATGAAAGGCACGTCTTCCCCCTTTACTGTCTTCTGGGTCTCTTGTTAAAGGGAAAACATGCATTCACATAAGGTTTGCCTGAAAGCAATTTTGTCTTTATGTTCATATTTTTACCTCTTCACACCGAGCATACACTAATATGCGGACTCTCAGCGGCTGGGCCTTGATGCCGAGCAGCCGCATATTTGCGTGCCATTTGTAAACAAACGTGCTGAGAGCACGCTTGCTACGCACCACCACGTGTCGGTGTCCCACGGAAATGTTCCAATCTCTCCTTGCGATCAGGAGCTTTCTGATCATGTGACTGCCATGACAGCCAGTCACGGCGGTCACATAACCCTTAACCCCGCCCCACCTCCCGGTGTCAGAAACCCCTTAAAGAGGCGCCAGTGTGAAGGGGTTAACATGCTTACTGTGCCATATTGTAACGGAACCGACCCAGCCTGCGCTGAGTGCTTCTGTTAGAATACGGCTTCCCCCGTCCGAACACCGACAACAGACACCCCAGCCGACCATACAAGACTAGAAGACACCAGTAAACTAGGAGGTAGACTACTTTATTTGAACACAGATACAAGATATATACTGTAGTGGATTGTGATAGACAGTCCACGTTCTATTAGATGATCAGTAAAATGACAATTTTATAGTCTTGCTACTTTCTGCTTCTTGCTCTTTAAATTCCTTACTCTCTTAAGAAAACAATCAGATATAGGTTGACAGAACAATGATGATAATTAAGATGGCGCCTTCATCCGGAGTCTCACCCTAGGTGACTCATTAGGAGAAAAGTATCTTTTAATGTAAACAACCCCCATAAAAGGGAATGAGTCTTTTTGGGGACAATGATTGGAAGATATCAACACGGATGGAAGAACACGCAGGAACCCAGTGGACTTTTCACCCAATCAATGTATATGCTTTGCCTGCATCATAAGCCCTATAAATGATACTGTTAGTTCCTCAATAAAACAGAATTTTAGGAAGTTGGCAAACTGCAACAGTGTCAGTGTCTTGCTTCCACGTGCACGTAATTCTATATTAATTTGGCTCACTGGTAGATCACGGTAAATGGTCTGTAGGTGACCTACTCCAAAACAATACACTCAGGGGGCAATCCCCATCCCCTGCATAATGTCACAGGGCTGGCCAATCTACATTTAGTAACAAGAGACACACAGGTATTCAAACTTCACACCAGCAGACAGTCCCATCAGGAGGGAGGGCTGCTGGAGAGACACACCCCCACTAAGCTAATACACAGAAACACATACATCCCATAATAGTTTGCTCCCAAACCAGACACACAATAGAACAATGGGATGCAACCACATAACACCAAACAATCTACAACCTCCACCCCACCTATCTCCTAAACATGTCTACACAATATTAGGACAGATCACCCTGTACTCCTAACAGGCACATGATGACTTACATATAATAGGGATATGGGGAGCTGAGACAGGGGTCTCCCCACCTCTCCAAGGTGAGCTAGGTTCCATGGGCCCCCCACCGAAAGTGACTCCGTCACACATATCTTCAAAAGTTTAAATCAAGGTAATCATAAGGTCCCACGTCAGACCCTTGCAATTGTTGCAGCTTGTTAAGGCGTGGTACTTTGACAATTGTTTTAAAAGTGCTGCGACCCCAAACAATAGACAAAAAAATTGGACCTGCAGCAGCATACCAGGCAGCTCTGGTCCACAAGAACCTACTGTACTTGTGTGTTGTACTTAACAAACCTTACTCACCCAGCACTTAACAACACACCATGAGGTATTTTAAAGAATTTATTAGGCCAAACATAGCCTATGAAGGGAGGATTATCACGTGCACATACTATATATAAATAGTCAATGAGACAAAAATGTTACCCTGAGAGATATGGTTAAACAACTGCAGTATTCTGACTATTGGTAATCAACAGATCCAAATTGCTTTTACCTAGCAACAGTATATAAAGACAGTCCTAACTTGCTATGAAAGTCCCTGTTTTTTCACACTGCCCAGTGAATTAAGAAAAAAAAAAAAAAGACTGGCAAAGTTGGGTCCCTTGAAGAAAGCACAGCAGTTCCCAAGAGAAAATAGATGTTCAATGTTTGTCGCTTACCAGAACTACGGTGCCCTCTTCTGGGTCTCCGAACATGTGCTGTGATTCAGTTCAAGGCCTCAGACAGGGATAGGTATTGATGTGATGTCTCTTTTTCAATCCTGCTTAGACCTCTTTTTCTTTTCTACAAGCAGTGAGGGTGCTCTCTAGTACTAGTCTGATCTCATTAGGCATCCAAATCACACACCACACATCTTTCCAGGGAGAGAGTTTCAGGCTCTGAGGCAAGGTCCTATGTAAAGAGTAGTCTATCCATGGTTTCACTCAATTGTGGTCAGCTATGGCAGGGCACTATTTAGCCAGCAGTCCAGTCTCTCTATTCACCCAGCCATCCGGTCTCTATTTCTCACCCTCTCCTTTAAAACTATGCTCTCTCTTCTTGGCAGAATGGAAACCCTCATCTCCTTGCTTTGCTGCATCAGCCAATCATTGCCCTTCCAGGATCAACCCAGATGCTGCCAAAATGGCTGCCCCCTGCACTAGAGACACTTCATAGATGAGCATTGCAAAATGATATCCTTAAAGATGGCTGCTGCACTTTTGCATGAATGAATATTCAGTTTACCCTGTCTATACTGCAAAAGGATAATACAGCAGCAACAAAGGTATTCTGCAGCATTTATCAGCTACAGTCCAGAGTACCTTTACATGTGAATTTATGAATATTATAGGTCTAGTAATACTAGTAATAATAGCTTTGTATTGAGATAATAAGTAACCTAAAGCACAATGTGTAATAAGCACAGTGCAAATATGGCTGCCTGATAAATTTATTTAGCATCAGTTAAAGCAATATGGTTTTTAAAATATCCTGGATAGAGTGGGGAAGACGTTTTCCAACTGCCTGAGGTTTCTTCAACTGCCTGGGTCCCTATTTGGAGGTATTTCCACTTAATATCCTGTTGACCAACAACATTTGTACAGAAAGTGAGGGCAATCTTCCCCACAGAGAGGTAGCCAACAATAAAAAAAAAAAAAACCTGACAGAAGATCTTTTCTTTCTCCTCTCTACTAAAAAAAACTACTGGACACGTTTCCCCTCAATCCTTTCCTGATGACTACTCGGGGAATGTGTTTAAAATAAGTGTTCATGGTTTTCTTTGACCCCCCCTGGAAAAAAGCTGCTCAAGTCCTTATCCAATGACTAATAAGTAGGTGAGGGGGAAATACTGTCACCAGGGAAGGTGGTAAAAACAAGCAGAGGTCCTAACATTTTCCATTCTATCCAAAACAAAAAAAAAATGTTTTTTCAGGAGTTACATTTTCAAAAGATGAAGGGCAAATGGCTGTAACTGATAGCAAACAAGTCAGAGTTCATTTTATGCTGACGTTACTTCAGTAAACTAAAATTTGATGGGTTTCTTCGGACTACTGCACTTTGCATAATCATTGCTGTCCTTTTCCATGCCTTATTAAATAACTTCGTGGATGTGCATGTCAGGCAAGTGAAGGATCTTTCAATAATTGAGTAATTTATGCAAG